CCCGCCGGCGACTTCGGGGTCATGCGGCTTCGCTGTTAGAGCTCTTAAACTGCGTCACTTTAACCACGGGAGGGGAGAACGAGCGTCTCCGCTGCCTGTGGACACCTCCCTTAGTAGTAGCGGGCTCCGTTCAGCTTGGGTTTTGCTGCTCTGTGCCTCGCACGGAGGGTTTTACTTAGTTTCTTTACTCCACTGAGCAGTCTTAAATGTAAAAATCTCCCTGAGGGGTTAAGAAAAGACCCCAAATCCCCGTGCGACCTTACCTGGAGCCTTTGGGGGGGTTCTTGTGCTTTTGTTCGGCTGCGGCTGCCTCCCGGAGCACCCCCGTCACGGTCCCTCGTCCGGGGAGCCCTCGCCGCCGGCGCTGGCTGCTGGAGGGAGGACGCCGGGGCTGGAAACGCCGTTGCCGACAGAAATGGGGTTAGAGAGGCAGCGCTGAACTGCACCGACGCCTTCAGCGGAGGCCATGGGCTGCGTTCGTCAAGTTCTGCCTAATGAGATCTTAGCCCCAGTGCTTTCTGCTTGGCAGAGGCGGCTTCGGGGGCTTTAGTGGCGGCTCCTCGCCGCAGCTGCGTTAAGGGGTCAAAACCCACCGTGTCTCACCTCGCCCCGTCACTGCATGACAAGCGCCCAGCTGTTGAGTGAATTCAACCCAACTTTAAGTGTTTTATTAAAGACAAAAGCAAGCGAGCGTCTCGAGCGTCTCTCTGGAGGCCCCACCTCCCTCTCGCGCCGTGAAATACTCCGTGTCCCAACACCGGCTCATCCATCCGTGGATGGGGCACGCTAACACCTGGAAAATTTCCTTTTTTAAGCTTATTAAGCTTTATACCCCTTTATTGGGGTATAAAGGAGGGGTAGAAATCACCCACTCGTGCACCAGGCCAGCTCCGAGCTCCTCCCTCACCTCTTGCAGAAGAAAACCCTTCCCCTAACCCCCTGCCCTCACGATTTTTGCAGGAATTCGAGACACCTCCCGCCCCCCAAGAGGAATTCACGGGGGTGGGTTTAACCTTTAAGACACAACTTGCTATGCAAGTTTGAGCATTTCTTTTATTTTTACACTTAAATATTCTCTTTAAATACAGCATTATCACCATGAAAAGAACATAAAAGGCTGGGGGGAATAAAAATATGCAGAGGACAAGCTTTGGATTCACACTGGAAAATTAAAAATAAAAAGCCACCTGTAGACAGTGTGAGACGGGGAGGTTTAGGAGTCGCAGAGTCACTGTTTAAATAAGACGAGGAGCCGGGGGACGCCTGGATTTCGGCGGCGCGGTAGCAACACGGCTCCCGCAGCAGCTCGGTAGCACCAGAGAGGAGACGGGCTGTTTGGTTTCTTACACAGCGACGAATCGAGCAGGAGCCAGCGTGGAACCAGTGTTAGTGTCGGTGAGTACGTTAAACCAACCAAAAAATAATAATAAAAGGCAGAAATGCGCTTTCATTGCACTATTAACAGCATAGTTATCTTTGTAAAAATAGAATAAATCCTATTAGCTCTTTGCTTATTGTGAAAGCACCCATCCTAACCAGCGTCTTAGGATTCATTCTGTCGGTTGACGGAGCCTCCGGGCTTGCCTAACGAGTCGCCTAACGAGCTGAGTCCTGGCGTGAGCGGGTCCTGACCTGGCTGCGGTGGCCGAGGGCCGGGACACAGAGCTGGGGAGTCCGTTGAAAATAAAAAGGGGGGAAAATAAAGGCTTTAACCCATTCAAGTGTCACCATTTGCTCTGTTTTTGCAGCTCAGAATTGCTCCGTTTCGTGCAGGAGCTGAAAAAAACCTCCCACGGCCAAACCGGCGCCGGCACGGTGGCATCCCCCCGTCGGGAAGGGACGCGGGGACGCCGCCGGCGAAGCGCCCGACAAGGGATAAGGCTTTGTTCCTCCCGAATTTAGCCCTTGTGTGCCGGCCGAGGGCAGGGAGAGCTGTCGCCGCCGGGTCGGCGCCAGTTGAGCAACGTGCACCGAAGCCCCCCTGGTTTGGAAACCAGCCCCTTCCCCTCCGCTCTGCCCCGGGAGAAGGGGACAGCGTCCCCGGGGC